GTGGTGTGTTCCCTGCGGGGTGAATCCATCCTGGCTTTTGGGTGTCTGCTCTGGGTGCCGAGCTGCCTGCGGGGACGGACGGGGACGGCTCCCAGTGCCCTGCCCTTGGCTAACAGCTGCCTGCACGAGGAGCTTAATCCCCAGTAATCCCCCAGCCTGTCGGGTGCAGCTGGGTGTGAAACTGGGAATGGAGAAACAGCAACTGGGTCATGGAGAGCAGTCTCTCCTCGCCGGCTGAGCCAGGTCAGCAGAGACCCTGCTGGTGACATGGCTGAGTCAGGCTCAGGCCCGGGCCCTGCACGTGAAGGTGACAGGCCCGTCGTGCGTCACAGGCGGCTCTGCCCGGAGCACGGGGCTGGTGGTGGGGCCGGGGTGATGCACGAGGGTGGGAAACGCTGGGATGTGTGACAGGTGAGGAGCAGCAGTGAGTCAGTGCCAAAACGGGAGCCTTCAGCTCGCGGTGCCTGCTTTGGGAGCCACCAGAGAGGCTCTGGGGCAGGTGCTGAGCGTGAAAAGCTGCTGTGGTCGCTCCACAGCATCCTGCATGGCCGGGCCGTGCGATCTTCCATCATTACTGATCGTGCTTAGTCCCAAGCCACCAGATCCTTATCTCCACAGGACAACGAGCCGCCTTGCTCCAAATGCAGCTGGAATTCACTGTTGTTTACAGCCCAGCTGGCTCTGTGGGGTGGGTGGGAGCTGCAGCCCGAGATGTGGCTGAGACAGGAGGGAGCAGGAGATGGCTGAGGGCTGGGTGAGCTCGGCCTCTCCACGAAGGAGTCACCAAGGACCAGAAGGAGCAAAGGAGCAGCACCCAGCTGGGCTCCCACAAGGCCTGGGACCAAACCCGTGCCTTGCCAGGATCCGTGCTCGGGCAGGCAGCTCCGGACAGATGCCAGGTCTACTCCTGATGCCAGCCTGCCTCCCGCCCACGTGGCCATGGCCCCCGGCACTTCCTTCCCCAGAAGAGCCCCTGGAAAACTCAGCAGCTCCTCTGGCTGCTCACGTTGGACATGAGAGCCTCCCTGAGCCTCCCTAGGCTGGCTCCATGGCATCTCCTCACTTTGTTCCCTGTGAACGGGGGGTACGGATGGGAGACACCGTGCCGTCATCCTCTGTGGGTCCCCCACGTGCGGTGAGCCATGGGCAGGGACCTTGGAGGAGCTGGCGTTGGTGCGCCATGGCACAAAGGGACAGGATGGGTGGTGCTTCCACCCCAGACATCCTGCTGGGGGGATGCTGACGGCATGTGGTGGCTGTGTCCCGGAGCCACCTGGTGCCTCACGGCTCAGCCTCCTGCCCTGGAGCTGCTGCTGGCTGCCCACCGCGTGCCAAGCCCCATCTGTAAGCAGCTGCAACAGGTCCTGCCAGCCTCCTCGTGACCCAGGCCTCTGCCAGGGAGCCCTGCCACGTTGTTATCAGCCCTTCCTAAGCTGTCTTCGCTCCCCACCTTTTCCTCTTGGCTGTGCCCCAGCCCGGAGACCCTGGCAGCAGGGTGTGGGCACCCCGGTGGGTTGGGTTCCTCACCGCGTGGGAGCTGAGGGCTGAACCGCGGCACCCTGGGCACCGTGAGAGCACGGCTGGTTGGAAGCAGACCCACAGCCCCAAATCTTACCGTGCTCCCCTTGCCCGTGTTGGCCAGTGCTGACCACCAGCAGCCTCGGCAGGGGCTGCCTGGGGTGCGCAGGGCTCTGCCTGTGGCTCCCTGCACGCACTGCCAGGTCCCCGGCTGAGATCAGGGGCGAGCAGAGCAGGGCACTAAGGACAGGACATGCCAAGGAGAATGCCAGAGTGGCAGGGGATACATGTGCGATGGCCAGGCTGGTCTTCCTGGAGCCAAAAAGTTTGAAGCCAAGCTGCCCTTGGAGACTTCTGTCCAACCTGGAATTCTCCCTAGAAAATTCTTTTTTTTTTTTTCCTTTTTTCTCCCCCCCCCCCCCATTTTTTTTCTGTTTTCTTTTTTACATTATTTTCTTTTCCTTTTTTTTTCTTTTTTTTTCTTTTTATTATTATTTTTTTTTTTTCTGGGAGATCAGAACAGGTTTTGCATCCTCGCTTCACCCAGCCATGAGAAGTGCTTTGGCCCCTGGAAGTTGTCAGCTGGAGCCTCCCATGGTTCCTGCAGGGCTGCGCTGCCCAAAACAGGGAATGTGGGGCTCCTGGGGCAGTGGATGTGCAGGCGAGGTGCTGTGAGGGGATACTTCTGTCCTCCTGGACCAGCTTGCCCCATCACAGCCTTTGTCTACAGACCTTTTATTTTGCATTTTCCGTTTAGGCTCACCCCTAGAGGTGCTGTTTGTCATGGGAATAGTGAGAGCTCATGCAGGGCATGCAGGCAGATGCTGGTGCTCCCCAAAAGCTGACAGGCAGCTCAAATATCTGTGTCTCTAGGGACACCAGCGTGGGAGGTGGGTGTAAAGGAAGCGTGGCAGGGCATCGGTGTTGGCAACACGGCCTCAAAACCCCAGGAAGGTCTCACCCAGCTGCCAGCAATGACCAGGGCACGTTGTGCTGCCCTGGTGTGCATGCTCAAGGGGATTTGGGTTTTGAAACACAGAGGCGGAACCTCCCCTTGATCACAGGGGCTTGGGCGGGTTTGATTACAGCACGAGGTGGGCACAGCACCAGCTGGCTGGCATGTCAGAGAGGCAGGATGCGTATGCATCCCGCATGCAGCCGGGAGGAAGAAGTAGGGGATGAGATGAGGTCAGGGGGTTGGATGCTCCCCTCCGTCACCCTCTGGCTGTTTTGTCTCATGATGCCCAATCTGGGCTCCTATCCTGAACCATTTTCCAGGCTGTGCTGCCTGCACCCTGCAGGTACAGGGCACGCACCGAGCTGCATGGGTCCCAGTCTCTGACAGCCCCAGCCTGGCACAGCTCGGCGAGGTGGCACAGTCAGGGAGCGTGGATATCAGAATAATGCAGCTACAAGGCAGAACGTGTTTGAAGCCCACTTTTCTCACATCGTGGCGATGTGGCCTGAGCTCTGCGCTCAGCTCCTGTGCAGCTCGGCTTGGCGTGGCTTCTCCAAAACCCAGCGCCAAGCTGCTGTCAGAAGGCCTTCCCGGGGAGAACTGCCCAGGAAGCCTAGGGGCTCATCGCAGCTGAATGGCACAGCAAAGCTCTCCTGGTTTAAAAACTGCTCTTTTAAAACACACATTCTATTCGGCTCGGGCAGAGCTCCCCTATGTGCCCAGGGTGCTGCAACCCCAGCTTGGCGCAGGCGTGCCTCCTGCAGGTGACAGGCGTTGGGCAGCCTCAGGAAGGGCAGGCTCCCAGCGCAGGCACACCTGCATTCACCCGCTTGACTCATGGGTGCAAACCCAAGTGTCACTGCTGAGGTCAGCGAGGAAGCCTCTCAAATTGCCGTGCAGCTCGGGCTCACGTCAGGAGCCTTCCTGCCTCGTCACACGGCTCCGTGGGACAGCTCTGCTGCACCGACGGGGCTGGGAGGGAGCGCGCCTGATCCTGGGCGCGGAGCGGATGCACGAGGGACGGGCGTCAGCTCCCTCGTCAAGCCGTGACCCCGGGGGCGTGCAGCTCTTGGGCCACCTCTCGCCCCAAAGGTTTGCCTCAGCTGGCCCTTGGCAGTCACGGGAGCGCCGCCCTCGCAAGCCCCCGTTGGCACTGGCGGTGGCGGCGTGCTCCGCGGGCACGTTTCTGCGCGTGGGCCCTGCAAGGCGCAGCTGGGGTGGCTCACGGTGCCGTGCGAGACCAAGCACGAGGATGCTGATTGTGGGGCCTGCCCCCAGCAGTTCTGCTCTGTTCCAGGAGGATGTGGTGCTGGCACTGTTGCTCACAGGGCCGGAGGCCGCAGGAGGTGAGGGGCAGAGAGGTGCTGGGAGAGCCCTGGCACGCACCGCGGGAGCGCAGAGAGGGGAAGCACCAATTCCTGGCACGTGCAGCCAGGAATTTTTATTTTTTTTTCTCTTTCTTTTTTCGTAAGAAAGCAGATGATCTCTGGAGAGTCCTGAGCAAGAAACCCAAGCGCACATCCTGCCTTCCCCAGGGCTTTGTGCCCGCAGCAGCTCCTCTCCTCGCTCGGCTCCGCGCGGTGGTGCTGCGGCCCCGCCGTGCTCACTCAGGGCTGCTTCGGAGAGCTCTGGCTGCGGGTTTCCTCGTGGTGGTGTGTTGTGTATTTTTTTTTTTTTTTCCCCTTGGAGGAGGGATATTCAGAGTTTAGAGAGCACCGCAGGGAGCAGAAGTGCCTGCCGCTGTCTCTGCTCGCCCCCAAAGGACAGGCTTAAACCTGTCTGCAGCCCAGACCCAACACCACCGGCACCAGCTCCTTCACCTTGTAAAAAAAGAAGGCAACAAAGGATGTCGGTGGCGGGGGAGACCCTGCCTTCGTATTCCGAAACCCCGTGGCTGATTCCTTTCCCTTCTTTCTCCAGCCTTTGAAAGTGGCCGTGAGGAAAGGGCTGAAGGGTTTGCAGGGGGACAGGGCGGCCCCCCGGGTGGCAGCCCTCCTGCAAGTCCCCCTCCTGCCTTGGCTGCAGCATCACAGCAAGGAGCAAACCCGCCTGTCCTGGGGGGTTTTGCCCAATCCCCCAAATGCAGTCTGGGCAGCCCGCGGGACACGAGCTGGGGCCCCAAATGCGCCCCGGTCTCACAGCTGCCCCTGGGGGACCCCCGCTGCCAGCAGCACGGAGCGATGGAGGTGGGCGTGAGGGAGCTGGTGCCCAGGGGCTGCTGTTTGCTGGGAAAAAACCTCCTTACCACCCATTTTCACCCGCTTCCCCCACGCGTGACCCCCCCCCCGGGTACCTCCCCCCTCTCCCCTCCCCAATTTCCCCGGCCGGGGTGGGGGTGCGCTCGGGCAGCCCCCTGCGCTCCGCAGGTGGGAAGCACCGCCCGGGGCGGCCCCAAACCCCGACCCCAAGCCCATCCCCGGCTCCGCCCGCCGGGGAGGGAGCCCGGGAGGCTGGGGGCGAGGCCGGGAGGCTGGGGGCGAGGCCGGGGGGCCGGCAGGGAGGCGGGGGCCCTGCCCGGCCCCGCCCGCGCCCTCCGCGCCGCACCTGAGCGCGCAGCGGCGTCCCCATCCCCATCCCCATCCCCATCCTCATCCTTATCTTCATCCCCATCCCCATCCTCATCCTCACACCCCTCCCCAGCCCTCCCATGGCGCTGCGGCTGCTGCTGTGCCTGGCGGCGCTGGGAGCCGGCTGCCGGGCAGGGCCCCCCCCCGGCCCCTCCACCGAGCCGCCGCTGCAGGACGAGGCGGACAACCAGGAGAACATCCTCTCGCAGGTCCGGGGGGGTGCCGAGGGGGGGTGCCGCTGTTACAGCCCCCGGGGGGGTTGGGGGAATCCAGGGGGTCCTTGGTGGGGCGCTGGGTGGGCGCATGGGGGGGCTCTGGGTGCCCGGAGAGGGGTGTCCCATGGGCGCGCTGTGCGCCCCCCCTCCGAAACGCGCTGCGTGCTGCTGGCTGCCCTCCGGAACAGCTTTTTGGGGTGGCTGCTGGACAAACAAACCCCGTCCCGGTTGTGTTCGGGCTCCCCAAAGCACTTTCTGCAGCTGAAGGAAATTCCTGGCACGGTGCGGGGCTGCTCGGCGGGGCTGTCCCACCGCCAGGTCCCGCTGCCTGTAGGGTTATTTCGGCTGCCCCAACCCTGCGAAGAAGCCTGGCTCGGGGCAGCAGGTGGCTTACGGGGTGGCTGTTCCCAAAAGGACACCAAGCATGAAGGGACAGCGGGATGGGCTTCACCCCTAAAGCTCCTAGAGCCTGGGTCCATCTTATATGGACACGAAGACCACCCTGGTGCAGGACGGCGGCTTTCCCCGTGTAGGGGCAGAAAGCCCAGCGCTTTGTAGGGGACTTGTCCACCGGTTTTGGGATGGTTTCCTGGAGGCTCGGGGCACCGTGAGGCTCCCCGAGGGGCCTGACGGTGCTGGTGCTCAGCTGCTAGGTGACTACGACAAGGTGAAGGCGGTGTCCGAGGGCTCCGACTGCCGCTGCAAGTGCCTGGTCAGGCCCCTGGGCCGCGGCGCCTGCCAGCGGATTAACGAGGGCGCCTTCAGAGCCGAGGATTTCTACACGGTGGAGACCATCACCTCGGGACCCGGCTGCAAGTGCGCCTGCGTCGCCCCCCCGTCCGCCCTCAACCCCTGCGAGGGGGACTTCAGGCTGAAGAAGCTGCGGGAGGCGGAGAGCAGTGACCTGAAGGTAGGGGCACGGCGAGGATTTTCGGGGTCCTCACTCCTCCTGGGGGCGCATTAGTGAGAGTGGGTGGCGCTGGTGACGTCCCGTGGGCACCAGGGGACGGTTTGTTGCCTTTGGGCGCAGAGGCACAGAGGCATTTTCCAATAAATTCATCCATCTGGGTTTGGGAGCGTACAGAAAGCCCCGGGGAAGCTGCCACCACCAGCTGGCGGGCGTCAAAGCCCTTGTGGATGGCCGGGACTGCCTCAGGCAGCTGCTGGCAGTGATTCCCCACGGCCCCGTTCGTTCCCCCCTGCCCTCGGTGCCCCGCAGCAGAGGGACGCCCCGCGGGATGCTCACAGGGCTGGTTTGGTTTCTGCAGGCTGCAAGCCACTGATGTGTCAGCACGAAAGTGTGCCGCAGGGCTGGCGGGGACGGTGCCGGGGTGGCTTTTGTCCTTGTTGCGATCACAGTCTGGAGTTTTTTGGTGGCCCCTCGACCACCGGAGAAGCCCCCTCGCCCGGCAGCACCGTGCTGTGTCCCTGGGGACGCCTCGCAGCCAGCGCCGGCCCTCGAGGAACTGGCCCTGGCTCCCTGGGTGTTTCGCAAGGACCCGCGGCCAAACCGCCTCGCGGAGCCTGTCCAAGCACTGCGCACGTGGGGATCGTCCTTGCTGCTAGAGCCCGGCCACGGGAGCTGTGGGGAGGCTCCCCAAAAAGAGGCAGGCAGCGCTGGGAGCACCCCTGGGCGTGCAGCGAATGTTTGTGGGGATCCTCAGAGCAGGGAAAAGCAAACCCCCGGCGGGCAAAGTGAAGGAGATGGAGTTAGTCAGGGTGTGCGCATTGGCACGGTGCATCAGGGAGGGTCAGCCCGGGGCAGCTGAATCCAAAATCTCTTTTTGAGGGGTGGCAGCTTGCTGCTGGTCCTCTGCTGGTGTTCCTGGGGGCCTGGAGCCTGACCTGGAGCCCTCCCCAGCCCTTCCGTGCCCATGCCCGACCACAGGGCTCCTCTGCCCTCTGCTCCCATGGCCATCCCCACCCGGGTGGGACCAGGGCAGGCACCTCTTAAATGGGGGCTGTGAGGAGGAGGCAGGAGGCAGCATCCCTCCAACAAGGTGGTTCCCCGGGGAAGCCGGCTCTTACTAGGCTGGCGCTGAACTTCGGCCCCCGCGCGCTGTTGCCTTTGTGAGTATTTTTATTTTTTAACAAGCTTCCCTTGGTTCCAGGAAAAACAAGCACGGGATGGCAGGAGCTCAGAGTCTGATCTCAAACTCATTTTATGTTCGCTCGTTGGCTGTTCGGCTGCCAGCCGTGTCGCTTGGGGAGCTGACCCTTGGGGATGTGAGCGCCGCGCTCCCCTCGCACCCAGCGCGCGGTGCTGTGCGCCGTGCCCCTGCCTGCCCCACAGGCTGGGTGGGCCGAGGTTGTTTATCCCCTCCAGGTGGAAGCCAGGAGCATTAAGAGTAGCCCATCGTCCCCAGATGCAGAGTGCTGGCTGTACAGGGACAAAACTGCTCTCTAATATCCCCTTGTGCTCGGATACCTGCGTTACCCTTGACTTTTGGCTACTGAAACCCTTCTGGGTGCTTCATATCAAGCACCTCTGCCTGACGGTGTGCTCTGTTTGCCTTGCAGCTGTCCTCCATCGTCGAGATGCTGGAGAGTGCCTTCTACGGCTTGGACCTGCTGAAGCTGCACTCGGTCACCACGAAGCTGGTGGGCCGGGTGGAGAGGCTGGAGGAGGTAAGGCAGCCCCCTCGCCTTCGGGGCGCAGCTAAAACCCTGTACCTGGTGCCTGGGGTGGGCTCGGAGCCTCCTTCCTGGTGGAGGAAACCAGAATTAACTCTTCTGGCTCGTTCCTCGGTGCTGCTAAAGGATAGATTTGGTTCAGTTTTCCCCTGGCTGGCACGATGCAGGGTGGCAGTTCGCTGAGCCGTGCTCAGAGCGAGCAGCGCGGCGCGCTCCCCGGGTCTGTGTCTGGGGCAGCAGTCCCACATTCTTGTCGGAGCAGCACGGACCCGTTCGGCTGCAGCCAGCGGCCAAGAAGCGGTGATTTATAAAGCCAAAATTCCACTTGCAGAGTGTTTTGGGAAGGCACGGGGTGCTCCGCCTCGGGGTCAGGCAAGAGACAGCCGAGAGGAGCACACTTGGCCGCGAGGAGCCGGCTTTCCAAACAGGGTGTTGACCCAAAAGGAGGAAAAGGGTTTTGAGGTCTGAAAATAATAAAACACCGCTGTGTGTGCTTGCAATCCCACCCTCCTCCTGCGGTTTGGCTCGCTCCCCAGGTGTTGTTGGGGCTGCTGTTGAGTCCTGGGCGAGGAAGGAAGGGGAGCGGTGACACGGGGCCGTGCCGCTGCGGAGCGGGGCTTGGCGTGGGGGGCGTCCTGCCCCGGGGGTTTGTGCACGCCTGAGGCCAGCGAGGTGAAAATGTCAGCTCGGAGGCTTGGGAAGTGCCACGGAGAGCGTCCCCGTGCTTTCCCTGCTCTCGCTTTTCCACCAGCACCCGCTGAGGATGCACCCGACAGCGCCGTGAGCAGCCGGGGCCTTGGGAAGGCACCTCCGAAGGGGGCAGCTGCAGGCAGCAGCTGGGAGCAGCCTCCTGTCCCCGGCCTCGCACCCAAATTCCTGCCCACGGGGCCGGCTGCAGGGGACAGCTGGGTGCTGGGGGAGGCCCCGGCATCGCTCCAAGGTGTTGGCCCCCAGGCGAGAAGGGTTTTGGCAGCTGCTCCCCCGAGAAGCAGCTGAGCGGCCTCGGAGAGCATCACAGGGCACCGTGTTGGCCCTCTGCTCACAGGGAGAAGGATTTTGTCCCCCGAGACCAGATATTGCACAAAATAAGTGACAAGGGCACAGGACAGTTGGAAACAGCCATGATCCCTAAAGGAGGAGGGTGCCAAAGCTGCTTCTGCTCCTAGGAGAGCATCTTAAAGCTCCCCTCTTCCTCTCCTTACTGCAGCAAAAAGCTTGCCGAGAAGTCCCCGTGTTACAGGACTCGGCCTCAAAACTCGAAATTAAAATTAATCAAATCGAAATTAAATGCCCTGCGGGGTGGCAGGCTGACCGGGCTCGGGTGGCTGTTTTTGGAGGGGAAGGGACTGCCAGTTTTTTTCCAGCATGACAAGGTGTCGCGCACAAACGCTGCGTGGTTGGACCCCGGAGCTGTGTTCGGCGGAGCTGGCACCTCCTGGGCTTCGTCGTCAGCTCGCAGCTGTTGCTTCAGCTGGCAGCTCCGGGGTCGCAGATGGAGGTCAGGGCGGATTTTAGGAGAGATTAATGGCAGGACAGATTCGAGATGAAGGATTGGGGGAACTGCCTCCAGGCTATGTGCAAAAGTGCTCTGATTGATGTGCCGTCTACTCGAGCGGCTGAAGATGGAGAGGACCAAGAGGTTTTGAGCTGAGAGGGCAGCAGCGCCTCGGTGCCCAGCCCCAGGGAGAAGCAGGGCCAGGAGCCCAGAGCCCCCCTCCTCCAGGGGTCCGGGCTGGGCTGAATCCCCTCTGTCTTTCCCAGGGCATGGCCAGGAACCTCAGCGGGGAGCGAGCCGCCGCGGAGGAGCCTCTGCAGGAGCCGCAGGGCCGGGAGAACTGCTCCAGCCTCATCTCCAACAGCCTCGCCGACATCGAGGGCTCGCTGCAGAGGGACGCGGAGGCTGCCTACGTGCACACCGAGGTACGGCCGCCTGGCACCAGCCCTGCTCTGCCTTCCCCGTGCCCCCAGCACCACGCTGTAAGGCTGGGCATCGAGGCAGCCCAGCTCTAGGTTATTTTTTCCCTCCCCGCTCAGCAAAGCCCGGCCCCAGCCTGCTGCTCCCGGCACGGCCCAGCTGCGGCCGGGACGTGGGAGGCAGCGGGACCGTGCTGCTCCCCGCGCCTCCCCCTCCTGCTTTTCCAGGTCGGAGTGCTCGGAAAGACTGATGTCATTGCGGGGCCGGCCGGCAGCCGCTGGGAAGCCTTTGATTAGCGGGGCTCGGGGGCTCCGGGGACGGGCAGCGCGTTGCTTTCCATCACCAGCAGCTCCCCGCCAGCTCCCGCGCCCACAGGCTGCGGGCAGAGACGTGGGCACCCCGTGGGTCTGCCCCACGTGGGGACGATCCTGCTGGGGCAGGGGTTTCTGTGCTGCTGCTGTGACGAGTGAGAAGGGTGTTTGTGGGGGAAAAGCCCCGCTGGGGTGTCCTGACCCCCTCCCTGCCCTGGTTGTATGAGCTGGGGAGGCTTTGTGCTGCTCTGCGCCCTGGTGCTCCGGCCTCTGCCCCCTGCCCGTGTGATGCCCAGGCCCCCAGGCTGCCCTGCCTGTGATGTGGGGGACACGGCTGGCAGGGGGGTGCCCGCTGGGGGTCCCAGCCCTGCCGCGGGGCCGTTATCACCCCGAGTGACCTCATTTCCCAGCACTCCCCCTTCCGCGCCGTTAATTGCAGCGGGGCTTCGAAGGAATCCTGGGCCCGTCTCCGCAGCCAAATGGGCACGGCTTCAACGCTCCGTCTGTCTTTCCATTTCGCTTTAATGAGGTGAAATCCCACAGCCCTGAGCCGTGGCTGCTGGGCTCTGCCCGTGCTCGGCTGCCCAGCATCACTCGTGATCCAACGCAGGGCACGGCAAGCCCTGAGGAAGGATGGCACAATCCCTGCCAACCCCCTGCCCAAAATCCTCCCCTAACAAGCTCCCCGTCTCCTGCAGGGCAAGTACGAGGAAAGGTTCCTGAAGGACGAGACCATCTCTCAGCAGATCAACTCCGTCGAGTCCCTCCCGGAGCTGCACCTGGCTGCGGAGGAGGAGAAGCCCAAGCAGCTCCTGCAGAGGAAGCTGCGGCTGCACGGCCGGCCTCCCTCCAAGCCCACCATCGTGCGAGGGGTCACCTACTACAAGGCGCAGTCCGGCGAGTTGGAGAACGACATCGAGGAGCAGCGTGAGTCGGGTTTGTGGCCCCAATCCCCAGCAGGAGCAGCCTCGTCCCTCGGGAATCTGTGGGGACAGCATGGGGACAGCGTGGGGGACACGGTGCCTTCGGAGCAGGGGGCTTGGAGACGTGGGCTGGGGGACGGGGTGTGGAGGTGCTGGATCAGGCTGCTGGCAGGGCAGGGGAACCAAAGGAGTGAGCCGTGGGGATGGATGAGCTGCTAATCCAGGAGACGTGGTTTCTGAGAGGAGGCCAGAGCAGGAAAACTGAAGCTGCGGGATGGAAATAAAGGGGCAGGAGATGAGAACACGGGGTGGAGGGGAGCTCCGAGTCCCTCTCCTCTCAGGGGTGCCGTGGGGCTAACGCTGGGCGTGTTGGTCGAGCAGCAGGGCCAGCGGGCAAATCACCACTGAGAGCATCAGTGTGGGCATCCAGCGCCCACACCCAGACGGGTGGGCTTGGCACAAGGGACACGGGGCGGTGGGAGGAGGCTCGTGGCTCCGCTGACCCCCGTGTCCGTGCGGCAGAGGACGAGCTGTTCAGCGGGGACAACACGGTGGATCTGCTGATCGAGGACCAGCTCCTGCGGCCCAGCGGGCGGGCGGGCGAGGCCGTGCGGAAGCCCTCCCCGGTGGGGTGGCCGCCCACCCCCAGCAGCGACCCCACCACCGCCGCGCCGACCACCCTGCCCTTGTCCCCTGCTGCCTCCGTGGGGCCGACGCCGGACCCCAACACCGTGAGCCCGCCACCCCCCACCCTGGGGACCACGAGCGCCCCATCGGGGCCGCCCGAGGAGGGGACCTCGCAGCTGCCGACAGCATCGGCCAGCGCGGTGGCACCCACGGCCACCGAGAGCCTGCCCGCGGCCACCAGCCACGTCCCCAGCCCCGCTGTGGCCACCACAGCCCAGAGCCCGTGGGACACGGGGACGAGCCCTGAGCCTGGCACCGGGAGCAGCCCGGGACCCCCGGAGCAGGCGAGCACCCCCGCGACGCCGGTCAGCCCCACGATCCCCGCCACCCCGAAACAGGCGCTGGAGGAGGAGGACATCAGGAACATCATCGGTGAGTGCTCCTGCGCGTGGCCACGGGGGCAGGGTGCTCACCCCTGGGTTTGGTCGCTGGTGGGAGACGCTGGGCTCTTCTGGGGCACCAAGCTTCACTTGTTCACTCTGGAACCTACTGATGTCCCCTCCCCGGTTCGGGGGTGGAGAGGGGTGCTGCCCGCTGCCCTGCCTCCAGCCTGGTGACCCCTCTCTGCCCGCGCAGGGCGCTGCAAGGACACGCTGTCCACCATCTCGGGGCCCACCACCCAGAACACCTATGGGCGCAACGAGGGGGCCTGGATGAAGGACCCCCTGGCCAGGGAGGAGCGCATCTACGTCACCAACTATTACTACGGGAACACGCTGGTGGAGTTCAGGAACCTCGACAACTTCAAGCAAGGTGGGGTTGCGCCGTCCCCGGGGCTGTGCCAGGCCCTGCTGGGCTGCCACAGATGCCGTCCCCGTTCCATGCTTGGGTTGGGAAGGACCTTTTTGGGTGGTGGTACCCGGTGTGGGGTTCCCAGCACGGGGCAGGACCAGCTGCCCGTGGTGGCTGTGACATTTCATGTCACCACGGGAGGCGGGGAAGGGGGTGCAGGAAAGGGAGGACCTCACCAGCGCGGTGTCTCTGCCTCTCAGGGCGCTGGAGCAACTCCTACAAGCTCCCCTACAGCTGGATCGGGACGGGGCACGTGGTCTACAACGGCTCCTTCTACTACAACCGGGCCTTCACCCGCAACATCATCAAGTACGACCTGAAGCAGCGCTACGTGGCCGCCTGGGCCATGCTGCACGACGTGGCCTACGAGGAGTCCACACCGTGGCGGTGGCGGGGCCACTCGGACGTGGACTTCGCCGTGGACGAGAACGGCCTGTGGGTCATCTACCCGGCCATCAGCTACGAGGGCTTCAACCAGGAGGTGATCGTGCTGAGCAAGCTGAACGCCGCCGACCTCAGCACGCAGAAGGAGACCACGTGGCGGACGGGGCTGCGGAAGAACTTCTACGGGAACTGCTTCGTCATCTGCGGCGTCCTGTACGCCGTCGACAGCTACAACAAGAGGAACGCCAACATCTCCTACGCCTTCGACACGCACACCAACACGCAGATCATCCCCCGGCTGCTCTTCGAGAACGAGTACGCCTACACCACGCAGATAGACTATAACCCCAAGGACCGCCTGCTCTACGCCTGGGACAATGGCCACCAGGTCACCTACCACGTCATCTTTGCCTACTGAGCCCCCCGCCACGGCGGGGCACTGCGAGCGAGGGGCCGCCAGCACCTTTTGTTATTATTATTGTTATTTTTATTATTATTATAATTATTATTTTGTACAAATCAAAGAGTAAATGATTTTTTTTTTCGGCGTTTCAAGCTGTTTTTTTTTTTTTTATGGCGGATTGTAGATCGATCCCCAGGCCGGGCCCACCCCCTTTGGCTCTGGTGCACCCTGCTCCTGATCCCCGGGGCAGCGCGCAGGGGCCGGTGGCAGCAGGGCTGCTCCTTCGGGAGGGGACGCCGGGCTCCGCGCACGCAGGAGGAGGTGGCCCAGACGTAGCCCTGCTCATCAGCTTTTTATTTTTTGAGCAAACCCAGCCCCTGGTGCAAAGCTGGCCTTTCTGCTGCAGGCTGCAGGGCCCGGCGGGACGCTGGTGTCCAGGTGCTTTGGAGAACCCCTGTGCGATGCGGCTGTGAGCGCAGCCCCGGTGCTGGCACTAACGCTGAGGACTGTCCCCTCTCCCCCTGGAGCCCCGGGGGGCTGCGGGTGCCAGGCTGGGAGCCAGCAGCGGGAGGGGGGCTGTAAATAGCTGTAGATGACATGTCGGTGCGCTCTGTAACCCCAAATCCTCCCCCGCTGGAATTTGCCGGGTGCTGCTCTGCTGGAGGGCACGGCCAGCAGGAGCCCCCCGCCTCCCCAGCCTGGCACCATCTTGTATTTACCTGCTGTTAATAATAAAAGATCAAGTACCTTTGCAGCTGTCTGGGGCTTTCTTTGGGGTTGGGTCACCCTCCGGGACCCCACAAAAGAAATGCGTGCACGGGGCTGGTGCTCAGGCTGGGTTCTGCCTGCGACCGCTTGTCCTGGCGTTGCTGGAGCAGCCCCTGTCCTCCCACGGGATGGGGAGATGGTGACAAGTGTGGCTCGGGGCTGCCTGCTGCGGTCCTAGAGGGGAAGAAAAAAACCCAACCCGCCCAAGGTGGTACCTGACCTGCAGCCATCCTGCGCTGCCCCCCCTGCAGCCGCCTCTTCCCCAGGGGAATAGGAGGAGGCTGTGGGTGCCCCGCCAGCCTTTTGCGTAGGTAAAACAGCATGAAGAAGCCAACTAGTGTAATAAATAAGAGAACGATTTTATTGCCATCGGTGCTAGGGACACAGACAAGAGGACCACATGGGAAGAGAGGTGCCCTCCACCACCGGTGCCCACTGGGCTGCGGCGGTCCCACGTTCCCAACCCCTCTGCGCCAGCCCCCAGGCTCGGGACGCTGCCCTGCCACCCCCGTGGCCCTTTCCACGGCACCGCTGTGGCTGCACCCATGGGTGCACCCTCTCCCCGCCCCCAACCCACCCACCCATGGCATGGATTTGGGAGCGCGGCCATCACCGCCGGGTCCCTGCCGTGGCTCCCCGCAGCAAAGGGTCCCCCCAGAGCACCGCGGGGCCGCGTGCCTCTGGCTGGGGCACAGCCGGGGAGTTTCTGCTCGATGACTGCGCGAGCTGGCCCGCAGTCAGGTGGGGCCCGGGCCAGGAAAACAGAACTGGTGCAAGGAGCGCAGCCAAGCCCCTCGCCGAGCCCGGCTGCTTCCCAGCAGCTCCAGCGCCGAGGGGACGGGGGCCGCGCGGCGCTGACTACGTGGCAAAGGGCAAAGCTTTTCCACAGTGTTGCAAGGCACATATTTCACAGGGGTGTATTGCTGCTCGCCCTCCTCCTCGCCTCCCCCGAGCTGTTTGTCTTGCTGCGGGATCAACCTTTATTTCCTAACAGCCCCCCCCCCCCCCCACACACAAAAAGAATAATAATAATAATAATTAAAAAAAACACATCAGTAAGTGGTTCAGACAAGGAGGGAAAGCCAATGGTCTGGCAAACCGAAGCCGATCATCTTCTGTGCTAACTGCAAGGGGGGAAAAAAAATAAGTAACAACATGCTGAAGTCATTACGCACGGCCGATGCGCTGCTGGCGCCCGACCCCAGCTGAGCACCGCGCCGCAGCCCCTCGGCCCTGCCCCGGTGGCCAAAAAGGGCAGAGGGCTTCTGTGGTGGCACTCGGGGGGTGTGTTGTGGGCAGAAGGTGCTCCTGTGTGTGTCTGTGTGCATGTTTTGGGAGTAAGGAGCTGTGGCTGTGTCCCACCGCACTCAGTGTGCCCCCTGCCCCAGCTGGGCTGGCGCTGCCTGCGGACACAGGCAGAGCCGCTCAGCAGGCTGGTAGCAGTGAGGAACATTAAATATCACCCAAAATTTAAAAAAAATAAGCACAGGGAGGTAAAGAAATACAATCTTTAGTGATGGTTATGCTGCACTAATCCACCACCTTCAGGCCAAGCCCCAGCTTTTTGCACGCAGGTGAGGCTGCGCGCCTGGGCACCCCGCTCGGTGGGCACAAACCCAACGCAGGGTGACCCCGGGTGCAGGGCGCTGTTTGAGCAGCTCCACGGGTGGCCGGGCTGCACGGAGCCCTCGGGGCACGCCTGGTGGCCGTGCAGCTCGTTCTGCTTGTAGTGCCTTGGCTGCCCCAGGCAGCAGCCCCCAGTTTCCCCGGTGAGGGAGGCTGCGTGGGGAAAGGTTTGGGGCAGGTGATGAAACCAAAAAAAAAAACCACCAATTTTGGGCAGTGCATAAGCAGCAAGGACGGGCAGTGCCCCCTTTACCAGTGCGGGGCTCCAGCTGCTGATGCCGGACACCAGGACTGCGGCAGCCTCCGGCACGGGGCATCACGGTGTGTGGGTCCCCCAGGCCTGTCCCCAGCTGGCAGAGCTCTGCAGTCCCTGGGCAGGACAGGACGCGGCCGTGTGGCAGGGTGAGGCACAGGAATGGGCTCTCAGCTGCCCTCGCTGTGCCCGGAGCCCCAGGGACCTGCCGGCATCGTCAGGCAGGGTGCAGGGGCCGTGCAGGGGTTACTGCAGGGACTTTACGATTGCCCTGAGGGCGTGGGGCGTCTCTGAGACGGAGGGGGACGAGCTGTAGAAGGTGTTGGTGTGATTCCTGCGCTGCTCGCGGAGGGAGGGAGGGACGGACGAGCTTTTGATGTGGAGAATCCTGGTGTCCATCACCTCGCAGTCGATCTGCATCATCACTTCGTAGTCCTGCCCGTTGATCACGTTCTCTGCAAAAAAAAAAAGTCAAGAGTCAGCCGTGCAACGTTGTGACCCAAAGGCATCACAAAGCAGAGCTTTCCGGACACTTTTCGGGTTGGATTGGCTTCAGCTGAAGGCAGAGGCAGAGCTGGAGCAAGGCGGGGGGGATGGGAACCCTTTTGTAGGGTCACACGTGGAGATCTACTGTGCACAGCACAGCCCCGGCCTGCTGCGGACACGCCAAAGGCCCAGCCCACGCTTAGCATCTGCATTCACGTGTAGAAAATAATGTTAAGTCTTTTCTTTTCCACTTCTTCATCTGCACATAATTACGGATGGCGTTTGCAGTGTCTCACATTTATTCCTGCAGAGTTGTTCTTGAGCTACTAAAGCACACAGCTGGTTAAAGATAGGGCTGAGCTAGGAAGCTGCGTGTTTTCACTTTCTTTTACTGGCTTAAGAATCCTGTAACCCTCCCGATACTGAGGATCTAGAGGAATTTCTTCACCAGTTTATTATTTTTAGAAGTGAAAAACATGAACTCTCAGAAGAATTAACTGTGCCTCATTACCGGGCTGAGCTGCCTGCGGTGCTCGCATGACACTGCGGTGCTGCTGACCGGGAAGCCGTGACCAAGCAGCCCACGATGGGCACAACCCAGGAGACGTGCCTTTGGGAAAAATGTTGGAGAGAAAGAGCTGAGAAGGAGGCAGCGATGGTTTCCACTGTCCTGAGAGCTCAGCTGGTGGCAAGACACCGAAGCCACAAGCTGCAAGCACTCAATGAATGTGGCAGGGCGATGGCAGCGAGGAGCCGAGGCTGCCCAGGAGCCCGTCTCCCTGGGAGAAGCCCTGAGATGTTTCCAGCAGGGGAAGGGAGCTCGGCTTGCAGAGATTTGTGCATGGCCTCAGGCTGGGCACGTCTGCTGCTGCAGAAGCTGCTGGGCTTGCACATGGCCAGCATCTGCTGCCCGGCCGGGAAGGTGGGAGACGATCCCTGCACAGACAGCGAGCCCAGGAATGCGAGAGCCGAGATCAGGTTTCCAGGCACGACCAATCCTCGCTTTCCCGAGTGAGAACTGCTGACTGCCATCGGCAGGGTTTTGTTTCTGTGCTGAGGAGGATGGAAGATCACCTAATGGAAAGCGTATGGACTGCAGGAATGCAATATACATTGCTAATTTTTACTGTTTTCCTGGATTAGCTCTGATTCTGGATGACAGCTGACAACCGCGGCCGGACCCTCTTGCACCCTGCGCCACCTGCAGAAGCCATTAGATGGGATGTGTCTGGTACAGTAATGAAAAGCAGGAGCAGACCCTTGCGAAGGGGGCTGGGAAATCAAAGCTCCCACCTGCAGGAATGCACCGCAGACAGCTCGACGTGCCACCGAGCCACTGGGGCCAGGAGCAGCCGTGCTCGGCACCGATGGCCGTGGCTGTGCTGTGGAAGCTTGTCCACAGCGTTCGGAGCCCTGTGTGGGGCTCTGTCTGAGGCCAGTCTCTCTGTGTCACGCTGTCTCTTGTCCTTTGGTTGCCAGCAGACAGCTCGGGATGCAGAGGGGCTGGGATGGTGCTGAGCAGCGGGGAGCAGGAGGAAAGGCTGAGGGAGCCGGAGAGCCCGGCCTTTGGGCTGGAGACAGCTAGCAGGAACAGACCAGCTCCCTGAAAACACAGCTCCTCGGCTCTTCTGCTGTGGAGGCGATGGCTGTAAAGGAGCCCGGCCCTGAGAGAAAATCTGCTCCAAAGCCACAAGTGGGTGAGGTGGGCTGGGCGGGCAGCCAGGGCCAGGAAAACCCCTCGGGAAGCTCCCCGAGGCAGTAAGGGGACCCTGCAGCGGCCAGCCCCGTGGGTTACCACCAGGCTCCCTGGCACTGCAGAAGCTGGAATAAAAACACCCCAGAGAGCAGCGACGTGAGCGAGGGAGCCGTGCTCTGTGTGGGTGGCAGCCGAGAGCATGGGAACGGGCTCCTCCAGCCTCCCGCTGCCCCAGCTCTGACAAAAGCTCCCCCCATGACAAAATCCAGCCCCAAAGTGTGTGTGAACGGGCACGGGAAGGGCAGAGCTCCCCCACCTTTGGGTGCTGAAGGCTGTCACTGCTCCGACACTCGCTGAGCAGCGGGCAGGCAGCTCAGAAACGATTCCACAAGGCTCCGGCCTGAGCTCGAGCCCATGGCATTGTTTCATGGTCTGGATGAGGACTGGAGAGCGGACTTACAGGGTTTCTGGAAGATGCTAGGCTGGAGAGCTTTCAAGCACCTTGGAGGACTGCATTAGGCTACAGCTTCACTAAAAGAGAGGGGCCGGCCAAAATCCTCAGGATGCGCTTCAGCAAAGGCGAGAGCGAAGCACAACGCTCGGGAGGATTCAGAACACGAGTACGAACGGGGCCGGGCAGGAGCACTGCAGAAGAAGTTGGAGGGCCGCAGAGGCTCGCTGGGCACAGGCCAGCAGCACAACAGGCCTCGAAATCATCAGCTCCAGTGCGAGAAAAACAGCCTTACCCTTGCCCAGGTTTCTAACGTGGCACCCACCGAACCTCCTGCAGGGAGCTGGGGTCGGTGCTGGGAGGACTGAGCCGGCTGCAGGCCAGCACTGCCCCTGTGTGCCCCGCGGGGCTGCTCGCACCGAGCCACTTCTGACGGCTCTTGCGTTACCTACGAGTGGTGCTCTGTGGGATTACACAAGTGAAAAGGGAACGGATGTCCCGGAGAGGTGTCGGGGTCTATAAATAGATTTATTGCTCCTCTGTGAAGCCCAGGACGTACAGCTTTTCGCACAAAGCTCCCCGTTGGGCTTCAGACGCTCCCCTTTGCCGGCCAAGAGGCCGTGCCGGTTATTAATTGCGAACAGCTCTCAGGCCGTGCCTCGTGGAGGCTGTTTCAAAATACGAGCAAGGTAGCTGTGCCAAGCCCTGCAGTTCCCTGCCGGCACCTTCCCGGAGAGGCGTGCTGGCCTGGGCTGGACCCAGCTCCCAGCGCTGAGCCGGGTCCGGGCAGCGCCAAGCCCCCAGCGCTGCTCTCCAGGGCTCGCCGCGGCTCCTCCGACAAGCAAACAGGCTGCGAGTGCCAGCTGATGAAAGGCGAAGTCAGCAGGCCAAACGAAAAATGTCCAGCAAACAAAGCTGAGGGTAAGAGCTACTGCTACCAATTACTGGAGAAGGTGGAAGTTTGTCTTAACCTCTGGAGCACCAGATTTTCAAAAGAGCAAGAGAACAGAGTCCTCCTCCTCCCTGAAGGGAGCTTTTCAATCAGCCCCAGGACCCACACAACTCCTTTATTTGATGCCAAATGCCATGGAAGCATCTCTCCATACGGTATCACACAACCACCAACTCTTTTAAAGGCACCGTTGCTGCACGCATGCTCCCACCCTTGGTATTTTCCACGTTTCCTTCTAACAAGAGGGCTCGCTTTGCCACATCAGATTCCCCACAGGGTCCGTGTGGGTGTTAATTTGCGCCTCCAGCCCCTTCAGCAGGCCCATCTATCACACCAGCAGGAACCCAGGCAGCTTTCGCAGAGCCACCAGAGGTGCTGGTGGTTGCTTTGCGCTAGCTGTGAGACGCTGACAATGATGAAGTTTGGCTTGAAGAATGATTTAGCACCAAACTACCAAAACAATTTACACTGCAACCTGTCCCGGCCCGAAACAGAGATTATTTTAGGGCAGCACAGAGCTGAGAAAGCAGAAGAGAAGAGCACCAGCTGCGTGCAGCTCCGGGGCTGGGCTGCTGAAGCGCTTCAGCTGTCCCCAAACAATCTTCAGGGGGTTTTCTCTGCCCCGTCACTGCTGCGACCTTCCATCCCCTCCGTGGAGCAGCGCCGACTGTCCGCCACATCTGGACAACGTTTCCGTCTGAAGGCTTGGTGTGCACTACCAAATAAGTATCGAAATGCAGCAGTGTTGCTGTAAAAGCTACCAGGACTAAAAATACACTCATTGCAACAACGCAGCAGGGTTTCTAAAATATTTACAGATTTGCTTGTTACACGGGATTACTTGAGGCAAGGGAGAAAGTTAGACTGTGACCCAAGTCTTTTTTTTTTTCTGAAATCAACTTTCTGCCTCCAACTATTTCCAAGCAAACCAGTCGCAACAGCCTTATCTCTGTGAACCCAGCTGCCCCCAGACCCTGAGGTGGGTTAGATGAGGTCCTGGGTGTTTCTGCTCTGCAGGTCTTCCCACGGAAACCCCTCCCAGCTGGTCTCCTACCTCCCCTTCACATCTTTCATGCTGCAGCATCGCTGCCACCTCTGCAAGAGGATGCTGGGCATGACCAGAGAGGGCCCAGTTTGGGTAAACTGGGCTTGCAGTTGGTTTGGACAGGGAGCTGAGGGCCTCTCAAGAAGAGATGAGAATCAGTGGTGTTGATCCTCGCAGGCACAGCATTTAAAGCTCCCTCAGGTAGAGCATTTCTTGGCAATCTGGAGACACTGGTGACAGCACTGGCTGGGGGCATGCTTCTTGCTGGCAGGATGGCCAGATCTGAAAGCCAGCCAGCTTAGGCAATGCTAACTGCAAAGAAGGAGGGAAAAGGGAAAAAAAAAAAAAGAGAGAAGAAAACAAAGGCAAGGCACAGAGCAGTTTTGCAGCACAGAAAGCTCTCTTGGGAGCACGAGAAAGGAAAGAGGCTGGGGAGAGCAACTCCGCTCAGCAGAACCATCCCATGGCTGCTCGGGAGGCACCACGTGTAAACAAATCTGCAGAGTCTGCAAAACCAGACAGACCCACGCACAAGACAAATAGCTGTACACAGCAGAGTAGCCTAAAAAGGAATTCCTCAGGCTTTGTTCACAAACAAGGGCTGGGAGCTTGTTGGGGGCAGCAAGCAGGGGGCTGCTCTGAGCGCAGCAGGACGGGACCGAGAGGCAGGGGCATCAAGTCAGGGCAAATACAAACTTTTGGGGTAGAAAAAAGAACAAATTGCTGCTTCCTCGCCACCTGATGCATAGCGTTCATGGTTCCTCAGGTTCTGTTCTGGCTCTTCTCTCAGCCATCTCTTGCCAATTCAGCAGTGATAAGTTACAC